TGCAGCATAGCTACTGCTACTCCATTTTGACATGGATGCAATCGGCGTTGGAGCATTGCGATACTCCTGACCTGCATTGTAACCATGGTTTTGCCACACTGTGGTGTGGCCGCTGGTCCCAGGAATCATGAAGCACAGTCCATTTGAAGCCTTTGTGGAGACTTTACTTGAGCACAGACCTGCGCTGCCATGCTTTTCGTTCGAGAATTCAGGCCCATTGATGGTCATTTGTTTCGTTTCACCAGCACAGAGGAAAGACTACAAGATGGTGGAGACTCGGCCTGTGGGCTGTGGTTTGTTTGTTTTGGTTTGTTTGGTTGTTCTTGTTCTTTTCTCCACCATCTGACTGTTCTTCCCTTCCTTCAACGATGACGGGCACCATGCCCACACGGCGTCCGCACTCGTGGAAAAAAATTCTTGCAAAGCCTTTCCTCTCAATCTGGGATTGGGACAGACCAGGCAAGACATTTGAGCTTGGGTTGGATTGCTCGCTGCTCAGCAGAGTTTGCCACAGAGAAAGCGTTGAAGGTCCCACGTTTCTTGCAGACAGACTGAGCTGCCTGCAGACAGCATCAGCAGTTGGTGAGTTTGAATGGAAGCCGAACTGTATGCCCTGCAAGCAGTAGCGCAAGACGGTTGCAGTCGGAAAGTTTCTTGGACGAGTTCTGTTTACGTTGAGAAAATCCACAGAGAAAGAGATTCTTCCGGGGATTTTGTTGTCGGACAGTGAGAGCAGCTTGAAGCTCATGGACATTCCTCAAAAATCGAGACATCTTGAGATCAAATTGGAGTGGATCAAAGAACAAGTCAATCGACAGCGTTTGGAGATTAGATTCTAGGGGAACTGACGACCCAAGTGATCTGTTGACGAAGTGTTTGGGAACCGCTGCGTTTGAAGTTTGATCATCATCGGGTTTCCTTAGGTTTCGAAGTGGTTGAAGGGCCATTGGCCAGCATGACACGGTTGAAGCACCACAATGTTGTGTTTGTTAGTTTGTTGCGAAAGGGGGTCTTCCATTGCTAATGAGGCTCGGCGTATGGGGGTCTTCTATATTGGTGTTACCAAAGACATGGAAACTCATGGAGTGATTTCAGCTGTGAAGGAAACGTTGTTGCAGTTTCGGGAACCTAGAAACGTTTTCGTGCACGTTTCGTCGCCGTGTTTGTCTGGATCGCCGCTTTGTTATCTTCGCCGGGAGAGTGGAGAGCCCACTGATGCAGATTTTGAGTGGAACGAGATCTTTCCACATGTTGGAAGGTATTTGAAACTTGGCGCCCACAGCTCGTTCGAACTTCCTTGGCGCAATGATTCGGGGACGCCAGTTGACACTTGAGACTGTGAGGTGTGCGGGACATGACTTCGATACACCTGTGCATCTTTGTTCGACGGGATTGCGATCTCGGAGTGGAAGGCCAGTTGGGAAGAAGCTTGGCTTTACGTCAAGTTCGAAGCCGTTTGTGATGACATTGAATAAGTTGTTTGGATCTTGCAAGTGCACTAGTGAGCGCGCAAGCATGAGTGATGTTGATTGGTCTGAAACGGCTCGGTATAATGAAGTATTGGCCCGCGGCATAGTGAAAGCTGCTATCACAGCGTTTCAGAACTAGAAGTGCAAACTGCTTGGAGAGAGGAAGCAGTCTAGTTTTCATAGAAGACTTTGATGTTGAAGGAACATATCTTAGATATGATGATTTTGACGTCAGAAATGTTGCAGTTATGTCAAAGACATTGGAACGCAGAAGCATGATGTGCTTTGCAATCTTGTTTAAGACAAGTTTGTGAATGCACATACATACCATAGAAGGCACATGTTTTTGATCTTATGTTTCCACACAAGGTGTGGGGAGGTGAGGTTGTGATTTGTCTCTTTTGTGAGGCAGGTGGCGAGGCTACGCTGGAGGTGCTGAAGGTGTCCTTTGGATTCTTCTGGGGTGGCGAGGCATCTGTTTCAGGTTTTTCCAGCTGCCTGCGAGGTCAGGATGTCAGGCGATACTTGCGAGGCTTTCGTCCGGCGGACTGCTGGCTGATAGTGTCCGCGTAGCGCAACTGTGTTGAACGACTTTGCACACTTAGCTTCCTTAGTTGCGGGAGCCATGGCCAAGTCCGGAGATGAGGTCCCACTGACTGCTAGTGACCAAAAGGAGCTTCGCCGCATTATGCTGAAAGTTCCAGAAGATGGGGGTGTGTCGAAATTGCCGAAAGGTGATTTGGCCGCTCTGAATGATTTGATGAAGAAGAAAGCCGGCCTTTCTTCAGCCAGTGGTGAGCTGTCAGCGGGATCTATGAGTGATGCTAGCAAGCGTCGCAAGGAAGCTGTGGCGGAATCCAATGAGGAAGATGATGTTTCTTCATGGGAGATTGAAGAGGTCATACCGCATTCGTTGCCGACTGGAACGACCTTGGAAGAGTGGCTGATGACTGTTTGCTCGCTACCAAAGGTAGAGAAGGAGCGTGAGTGGAAGGGCAAGGCCTTTGCAGAGCTTGTGAATTTGTCTGAGAAGGACAAGGAGCTCCAGAAGTATCTCTCCTGGATTCAGGCCCGCTTTGCCAGTGAGTATGTCGGGGGCGTCCCAAAGAGTGAAGCAGTCGACTCGGCTGGATTTCTCCAGTACATTGACTTCAAGAGCAAGGCTGGTTCCAGATACCAGCGAAAGTTGAAGAAAGACAGTGAGTTCCTCAGGCGGTGATTCGCCGTGGAATGTGAGAAAGGAGTATTCTGTTAGAGTATCTGTTCGATTTGTGGTGTCGCTTTGGGTCTACATCCTTTTGGAGAATTTTTCAAGCTTTGCAATGCAAGAAGCCCCTGTGAATGACTCACGAAAGGGGGTGTGAAAGGATTGCGCCACTTGGTGCACCACGCAGTGTGCCATTCCCAGCTGTCTATATGTGTTTATAGTTGCATGCATGTCGATAGATTTGCACATGCGTAGTATCATCCACGGATGATACCATTTGAAGCACTTTTGAAAGTTGCAGATCTTGATGTGCACGGTATCGCCTCCGGTCGACAATTATGTGCTTGGATTCACCTTCAGGTGAGGATCTAGAGAACCATATGCATGATATCGTCTCCGGACGATAGTGTTTGAAGGACTTTTGGACGCTCTTCGGAGCAGCTGTGTATGTTGGAGACACTCTCGATGCTCTTTGGAGCATCTACGTGTTGGTGGATTGTGTGAATGTTTGATGGATGCCCACGACATCCATCCTGTGGATATTGTTTGTATACCACACACACACACTCGCATTGCATACCTGGGAGGTTATGTGTTTGGTTGCTTTTGTCTTCCCCCTCTTTTGGGTTTCCTCCCAAGTGATGACATCAGCCACACTGGGGGTGCACCCACGAGGTGTGTCCGAGGATCAATTCGGGGGTCGTCATGCTGAAAAATGTGGTGTCTGATGGGGGGAAACACAAAATGTGTTTCCTCGTTTGCTTTTGGGGTTCATAACATCCTGTTGGGTGCTAGAGTGGTGGCACGAAAGACATCTCAGTGATCTTGATGGAGTTAGAAGGGTTGGACGTCACTAGGGTGACCTTTGGGTCCAATGGAATCCACAATAGGTTCGTTCGCCTTGCGGGAATCGTTTGAACGTCGTTTTCGGACGAACCGCACTTGTTTTCGGCTCACCTTCAAGAGGATGGAGCGATGGAGTTTAAAGAAGCTAGACATGCACAGATGTACACACTGTAAAGCACCTTGGGTTGGTTTGTGTGTCGCGCAAAAGGTCGCTTGACGCTTGCGGTGCTGTTGGGTTCGGGCCTTGTGAGGTCGTTTGGGGTTCTGGTTTTTCGCAGTTCCGCAAGAATGTCGCACAAAGAGTCCCGCAAGATTGTTCGACAAGAGTGCCCCACAAGAGTGTCCCACAAAAGTGTCGTACAGTGTCCCGCAAGAGTGTCCAAGGGTCCAAGGGTGTCCCACAATTTTCCTGCAAGAGTGTCCCACACGAGTGAGTGTCACGCAAGAGTCTACCCCACAAGAGCAGTTTTTGGCGTACAAGAATGTCGGACAAGAGTGTTCCACAATAGTGCCCCACGAGAGTGTCCCACAAGAGTGTCCTACAAGAGTGTCTCACGAAAAATGTCCCAAAAGTGTCCTACATGTGTCACTTGGCAGTACAAATGCAGCGCGGGAAGGGGGTTGTGCCTTGTGAATTGGAACTGGCAACTTTAGCTGTGACCTCAGAACTGGCCACTGGTGGTGTGTAGTGCAAAAAGCAGCTTTTGGGAGTTGTGGCAGTACACACACTGCGGGAATCAGGTTGTGGGAGCTGTGGCCTCAGAATTGGCCATATGGTCAAATATATGCAGTACGGGAAGCTCAGAGTTGTGCACTTGGAGCTGCAAATATAGCTTCTGAGAGCTGTGGCCTCAGCAGCTTCTCAAAGCTGTGGCTTCAGAATTGTCAACTTATGTGGCCAAATTACATCTGAGTGCGTGAGTGTCGTACGTGAATTTTCACAAGAGTGTCCCGCAAGAGTGTTGCACGAGAGTCTACAAGAGTGTCCCACAAGAAAGTCCTACACTCTTGCGCAAGAGTGTCCCACAAAGTGACAAAAGTGTCGCACGAGAGAGTTCCACAAAAGCATTCTACAAGAGTGTCAAAAAACGTTTGGGCGCTTTGAGTTCCATCTCGTTTGTTTCGCTAATTTTGTCCTATGCAAACGAAGTTGTAGTTTTGATTATTGGGAGTCTAAAAGGTGTTTCAAGTCACAAGGTCTTGTGCAAAACAAATGAACGGCAGTCAAACTCAAGGCTGTTACGCGATTGCGTGAGAATAGAACTGGTGGGCAACAAAAACCATGTTGCTGGAAGATGTTTCTTGCCCCAGTTAAACTTAAAAAACCGACAGATTTGCTGTTGTTAGTTTGTCAACGAGAGCCGGGTGTTCCAAAGAACATCAGCCATTGTTGTTGTGTTTGACCAGCATTGGCAAGAGCTTATGTTTTAGCAAATTTTCGGGTTCGGCAGAACAACATCTCGATCTCCAATCCCTGCAGTTTTTAGCTGTGAACCTTCGGTTTGCGAACCTGATAGTTTGGCGATGGCGAGGCCATGATGTGGGGGTTGTGGCTCATTGAAAGACCCAAATATCATGAGCGAAATCGACGAAAACACCGTTTCCAAAATGCTGCCTTGCCTTTGGACACATTTGGAATACTACACTCCCTGGAACTAACATGGAAGTGGAAGGCATGACCCCTTGGAAGACCACGAGATCCTCCACCTTCCAGGGAGTGTGATTATGATAGACAAGGTTCGGTGCAAACGTCTTGGCCAGGGCTGCTTGCTTTGAGTTGAGTGCACTGGGTGCACAAGCAGGTCCCTGGCTCGAACACCCAAACGTTCAACATATCCGTTCGCTCTCGCCGCCTCGCAAATCCACGTTCCGAGGTAAGACCTGCAAAGCCCTTTCGACCTGCTGTGGAATAGGCTGGGATGTTTTGTTCACAGCCGATCTGCGAGCTGATCTGCCCCGGCAGTTTGAGGTCAGATCCTCTTCCCAGCTTCAGAGGCCGAGAAGACGCGCGTTTTTTTGGTGCCACGAGAGGGCCTAGGGGACTTATCCAAGTGACCAACTCATGGATGAAACGTGTTTGGATTCAATTTCTTATGTATAGTTTCTTTGATGTATTTTGATTCGGTTTTCTTCAAATAGGTGTTGAACAGCCCAATGACCAGTTTTTGTTCCAACGTATTTTGATATATGTTGATTCTTCGGCCGTTCGGGACTGAACACGGATTCTGGACCTGCGACGTGTGAAGGATCCCTCGCCCGCGGGAGCGAAGCTCGGGGGCCCAGTTCTCTTTTCCCACGTTCCACCGTTTGGAGAGGAATGAACGTTCCACCGTTTGGATGTGCGGCCTCCAGGATGGACGAATCTGGAGCTTCGCGTGAGGAACTTGGCCGTGAGGCGGAACTTGGCGACGGGTGACGGTGCGGGGTTGTGGGTTGCGAGGTGAGAGCTCCCTCGATCGAATGGATGGAGGCACCGAGGCGCGTTGCAACATGCGCGCTGCAAAATGCGCGGGAACTCGCCAGAAGCGAACAGTGAGGGGTTTTCCATGCAGGATCCTCAGCAGATTGGCGCCGAACCTGAAATGCTCTCAGTGTCGAAGGAGCCAAGTGGGGGCGTGTGGAAGCCAAGTAGGGTATCAATGTGGGTGACCACTACCGCGACATGTCCAAATACCTGATATGTTTGTTTTTTTGTCGGGTGTACAGTGTAAATGCTTGTACTGAGCGGCCACTTCGACTCCAACACCCCTTGCTAGAGCCACTGAATGCGAGGAGCCACCCTTCCTTCCTTTTCTTCTTTCCAATTGAGGAGTCGGAGACCGAGTTGGCGGCCGAGCGGGGCAGCACCGAATCTGACACCGCCTTGCCCGACGATTTGCCTGAAGAGCCCGAGACCGCCTTTAACAGCGACCAGAGTGACAGGCGGGTTGCGACGAGCGACACACTTGGTCGCCAGGTGGCGGCGTCGAAGGCATGCGCGATGGGAGCGTCGACTTGGCGTTTTTGAGCGCCCTGTGTGGACGCGTGAAGCAAGTGGGAGAAGTGGGTTGTGACTTGAGGAGATGGGGGCATGACCTCCTGATTTGGCATATGAAGATGATTTGGTGCTGGGTGTTGCTTTGCGAGGTTTCTGGCTGAGCCTCGAGCAAAGCCAGATGTTGGGCGCTCTTTGCTGGAGCTTTTGAGGTGGGACTGGGCGGACAGTGACCCCCCCCCACCAATCCAAGGTCTCATCCGGTTCTCTCTGGAAGCTCCAGCAGCTGTCACCGGAAAAAGTCGGGAGAAAACTAATTTTCCATCGAACCCTGAGCCTTCCCTAAACCACCGAAAAGAAGGGTTCCCACCATCCGATCAGTTCAGGGGGCGCCACGTTTGGATCCATTTGGGTTGCCACATGTGGCGACCCGATTAGGTACCAGCGGGCACCTGTAGTGACAGGCGAGAAAAAAGGGACATCAGTTCATATGAAGTAAACACAAAACACTCCTGTCCTTTGTCCAATGGGTAGAAATCCAACAGGTGGCTAGGCGAGCGGGACACGGCCTTTCTTGCTCATTTTTTAGGGCACCGGACCTGGGCTTAGAATGAACAGATACCACTTTCCCTCCTCCATCTGAAGTTCTGCCCAATCTTGGTAGTACGGCAAACAAGAATTATATATATAGATCCATGTTGCTTCTGATTAGCCTTGTGGGGGGAAGCGTGTGCATTTCAAGGGTGCGGATGTGGGTGTGGGTGAAATCTGACCTCCCAAGTCAAGCAGATCCCTGTGGCCCAAGCGATCCGCCACTGAGCTCCTACAGGAGTGGGCAGCCCAAACCATGTGCTGTTCGGAGCCTGGTGTGGCGGTGACCCATGGCTGTTAGAGTTGCAGGATGTTTCCTTGACCCATATGCCATAAGCGGTCTGTAGGCGGTAGATCTGACCGATCTAGCCTGCTTGGTGTTTGGAAGATGACGACTGGTGTGACTAGCTCTGGTCCCCTTTGTTTTGGTATTCTGGATCAGGGGCGCGAATGATACTGTCGCCGCGCATTGGAAATTCTATGCTGGGCTTCACTGAATGCGGTCTTCTTGTGAAACTCTGACGCTGCTTTGCGGGAACCTTCTCATAAGCACGATCTGCCGGTGCCAAGGTTGATGGCAGCGGAAGCGGGATCGACAGCTCCAGTGAATCTCAGGAAGCAACATGGTTGGCGAAGGTTGTCTTTGGATTCAGAAGTGTGCAAGTGTGGGAGACCCTTCTTGTGAACGGAGAGTCTACCAATTAGAGGGTGGTCTTGAGAATTGGAGGGTCTGGAGTTTGGCTTGCATCCCAACGAATGCATGGCAGGAACAAAGAGACGAGATAGGCGCGCAAGTGTGGCGAGCCTAGCTAAGCTTCCCCACTCAACCCACCAGGAAATGGCAGGCACTTTGGTGTCTGTGTGTCAGGATGTTGTAGGTTTTTTGTCTTGAAACTCTGAGATCTGCAACTCTTTTGGACATTTCTTTGGATGTTTCACCTGCTTTCCCGAAGACACGAGGAGTATACCACCTAGGTGCCATGTTCCATGCATGCTCCATGCCATGTTCTCGGCGCCAAGGCCGCTACTGCAGGGGGTTGGTGGATTGAGCTGTGAGCTTTGGGAATACTTTGTTCGGCCTTTAATGGACAGCAGGCGTGCGGCATTTGGAGTGTTGAGTGTTGGGTGGTAGGAAGTTCACTTATTCATCTCTTGAACTGTCGACATCAGCATTGAAGCACCAATTTGGTGGGATTGGAACATTTCAAGAGATGTCTTAGACGCACAACTGGATCATACTACTTTTAAGGGTTCCTTATTGTGTGGCCCTTTTTCTTTGGCATGTTCGAGGCACTCGAAGGCTTTTGTTGGACATGAGTCCTTCAAGGGCCTGCTGCTCAGTCCCAGACAGAGTCTCCTTCGAAAGGAAACCAGCAAGTCTATGGCTTCTCAACTTATGTTGGAAAGCTAGTGCTGCGACATGGATGATCTAGAAGGTTGATTTGGGGCATCAGAGATCATCTCCAGAGTACCTGGACAAAGCCTGACCTTCCTGTCGGTGGAACCAACTTCTCCTGTGTGTCTTTGCTTTTGCACGGCGAAAGAAACCAACGCCTGGGGGGGGAACCCCCGGCTGAGGCTCACCCATTCCGGGCTCCAGGCCGCAGGCGAGGAGTTGAGCCGCAGGAGAGGTTGAGCCGCGGGAGGGTTCGGAAGTGATGGGATGCCCAACGGTTGGCGATGGCAGTGATGGCAGCACCATTTTTGGAGACGCAAACTGGGGAGTTTGATGACGTCCGTTGGATTCCGTTGGATTCGTGACATCAGTCTGAGTCTTGATTCTTTTGAGGTTTCATGTTGGTTTGTGAATCTGGTTCTCCCGAAACCCGCATCCGCTTTCTCTCCATTTTCAGGTCTTGATCGACCGACGAAAAGACACTCATATGATGGCAATGCTCCGGACCCAGAGAGATGGCGATGCTCCGTTGTATTCTGGTTCGAACACACAAAGTCAGACATGTCAAGTTGTTGGTCAGACATTCTTGGTCAGTTTGACATGGATAGTTTCTTGGTCAATTCTTTATCCAATTGAAGACATTCTTGGTCAGTTTCTTCTGCAATTGGATAAAGTTTACGTTCTTTCCGCTTGTGGAGCTCCCTGTGATGGCAAGCTCTCGGGTCCTCTTGGGTCCCAAGGTTTAAGCCATCTGGCTGGGCGACCTGCTCGACGCCACAATGGGAAGGCCGAGACTCTTCAGTTGAACTCCTCATTGAATAGACATAGAAAAGTACCGTCACAGCCATCGCATTTCTGCATTTCTGTTTCCGTTCCAACCCTTAGACTGTGATTGTAAATGGAAAAAGAGACCGACTCCTCCTCCAAAGACACCTTCATCCTCGCTTCATCCAACCCTCCATCCGATCCATCTAAACCCTCCATTCCCATCCATTCCCATCCAATCCGTTGGGTCCGTTGAGCACGTCTGGAGTCACGTCAGGTCTGGAGGGCAATCTGATTCGCCACGTCTGGTGTTACTACAACGTCAGAACCTCGGCATACGCCACGGTCGCCACGGCGGACCGCCTCGGACGCCCGAAACGCCAGAGGCTCCAACAGCAGCGCCATGCCATCGCCTGGACAAAGGCACTTCAGGGATCGTCGCCAGCGCCCAAGTATGTTTTCGGCTGGACAACTGCTGCGAGTATAGGACGAGTTGACTCCAATGCAGGGGATGATCCTGGTACCACAGAAGGGTGACCGTTCGTTCCCCCAAACCAAGTTCACTACATCCCTCTTCAGCTGCGCTCGTTCTTAGCTGGTGGCGACGAGCAAGATCGCTTCAAAGTACATCTGCCTGGAGCTCGAGCCGTGGGGTTTTCGCGCCCTGAAAGCAAGCAGTGCAACGCGGGTTTTCGCGTGAGGTTTCACTCTCCTCAGGTCAGCAGATCCTCAGCAAGACTCTGGTGAAACAGTACGTTGAGACACCCAGGGCGAGTTTTCGTTGCGATTCCTGTGATGGTTCTGGCGAGCGTGTTTCCATGGAGTGCTACTTGACCATATGGATCCTATGAGAAATTGTGGAAACCATCGACCAGTTTGCCTGAAAAGAAATTCCGACCAGCCCGAAAGCCGGAGCAACTTTTTTGATCCTTCAGCACCCAGGTGGGTCTCTGCCATGGCCTTGTAACACCTGGCATGGGTGTTTTTTCAGCACCTCTGGCACTGAGCAGAGCAGACAGGCGGGCTGGTGTTATGGGACGCGTCATTTTTTACCGCTCTTTGAGCCGTAGCTTGGATGGAAGTCCAAGAAGCACCTCTATGGCAGATCTATACATTGAAACTGTAACTTTCCCAATACATCACAGTCAATATGTGATGTGCTTCTTCTGAACTGAGTAATCAAGCCATTTCTCTACCATGCCATGAGTTAGTGCTGAACCACTGGCTGCCCGGCCCCGGAAAGGCCTCTGGGCGCATGCTCTACGGAAGGGCGCGAAGCGGTGCGCCCCCCTGGGTCGAGCGGCGCCGCGCCGTCGCGGGGGCTCGGCTGTGGGCGTGCCTGGATGGGTTCCTGGGAGAACACAGGTCCATCTGTGAGTCCCACATGGAACCTGAAAAGAACCCCTGGGTTGGTATTCAGAAGCATCGTGTTTCTTTTTTTGCAGTCTGGTCCATGCCAAGCTCCGTTCCATGTGGGTTGACCATTGTTTACCGGGTGGATTACACTTGCGCTGGTTGTACAGGTCGAGTCTTCTTTTCCATATCTAATTGTCTTGTACAGGTCGAGTCTGTAAGACTGTAATGGCTTTAGTGTGAAGAAAAAGAATGTTCCACCGAAGCAACAGACCGCGAACGTAAGACGAACCTTCCTCGGACGCCTCGACCCGGTGGTGGCCTCGGGACTGGTCTAGATGTGGATGATTGGAATCAGTTGGAATTTAGATGTGTAGAAACGCAGGGGGGGCGACTCGATCCTTTCAATGACGAGATCATGTGTACATGCTTGGAGTCCAGGACTCCCTTTGCGATATGCCCACACCACTTTGTCTTTCACTTTGGCACGTTTCTCGCTGACATTGCGATGATGCCTGTGATCGACAGGTTACCCGCTACCGCGTCCTGGGCTATTTCCGCAGCCACCGAGGAAGCTACACACTCGTGCAGGCAGGAAGATAGTCTAGAAGCGCGCCGCAGAACCATGGTTGTTTTCTGATCCGTGATCATTGCTAGTCGCATCAAAAACACCAGTTCTGCCGCCCAAAGAAGAATTGATGTCAAGACCTTTTGGGCTTGTTGTGACGATGAACATTCATTTAGTTCTTGTTTTCGTCATAGGTTTGGACCCACAGTAGTTTTTGGGTCCTGCACCACGGTGATTTACTTTAAAGGTGAGACAGTTGGAATGTCCATTGATTGGCCTTGAGCCTCGACCAGAAATGAATCACAGGACAAGTATCAGGATATTGTGGATATCCTAAACTCTACGGTTGTTGTTTCCTGTGTCTGGTGGTCCATTTCTATGAATCTCATAGCTCATCTCCTACATTCCTGTTCTCCCTCAGCCGAACGCTGATTGAAGGTACTGATCGAGCATGGCCGACAGCATCAGATTCGATTCTTGCCTGAAAGTAGCTTCAGTGCTTTGCAAGCCTTCAAGGGGGCCATCGGAGAACATGTTGAAAGAACTCTATATAAGTTGCCAGGGCTTTGGGCCTTCCTACTTTTGATCGGGTGTCCCCCAATTCTGACATATGTATATAACTATATTAGCTATATAAAGGCAACTGAAATGGTGAGGAAACAGAACAGGCTATCCATAGACAAAGCAGCTCAACACGCAACACTGGTAGACAGACGACGCTGAAAACTCAGCACGAGTCTGGCATGTTCCGTTGTGCAGTTCATGAAGTGGTTCCACTGTTCCACCATAAAAAGGTTGTGCATAGGTGGCCTTGCGAGGATGAGGGCGTCCCATTTGTTGATTTGAAGACAGCGCCTTTGCAAGAGCGCAAAGGCGCTGGGTTTGATTCCTGTTGCACAAAGTAAGGTTAATAATACAAATGTTGTTGCTGACTCTTGATTTTGCCGCTCGCAAAGTAGAGTCAGCTCCACCTCAATGAGGGTCCATTGAATCATGTAAACCACTGGAGTGGTGCCTACTCTGAGCTACGGCTGCAAAACATCACATTGGGGGGTCCACAGATGAAGGCCAAGCTGGGTCGTTAGCTGCCGGATTCTATACAACTCCGAAAAATCAACTGTTCGGCAGGAGAAGCAACTGTTCAGCCGACTTCTCAACTCCTCTTCACGCAACCAAGTTTGATCCAGTCCAAGCTTGAATGAGTGAGGTCCCGCGAGGTTCCCGATCGGTGGCCAGTCTGACCGGTGGCCAGGCTTGCATATGGCCTCCTTGGGTCATCCCATTGTCGCAGACGGCCGTTACAATCCCTACAAGGTGCGAGTCAGAGCTCGGATCGGAAGTCGTGAGTCAGTCGTGAGTCTAATTTGGGCTGTCTGATTTAGCCGAACATGCATGGCCGACCTTTGCATCTTCAGGCGAAAGATGATGCCTGGGGCCCTGGGGGCCTGTCTTGGGAGCGCGATGAAGTCAGAGCGTCGATTACTATTGGTTGGATGGATTTATCGAGGGGATACCCCCAAGTGTACCATCTAAAACTGACCCCTCCATTCCCAAAAGGACATCGTTGAGGCTGAGGGTGTCAAGGGGTTTCCTTTTTTGAACACACGTTCCTCATTTTGAAGCCTTTTGGAACTCGAAATCAGAGCCTTTCGTGTTGACGTTGTGATCAGCTTTAGCCAGTAGCCATGAGGATTTTTGCTGACACCAAGCGAAAGGGGGTGTCTGGCATGAACTAAGGCCGAGATTTGTCCTCGCCTGTTCTTGCACGCATGCTACTTGAGATGTCTTTGTCTCAGAGAAATGTCAACCTGAGCACTCAGACTGATTGTCAAAGATGTTGAGTACAAAGACACAGTTAGCATGCTTGAGATGTCTATGTCTCAGCATCAAAGCATTCTGACATGGACTCCAGTCTGCACACCTTGGGTCTGCACGAGCCGAGGCACCCTGCTGAAAGCCGACTCCGAGGCTGAACATGGGTGTCTCGGGCGTTTGGGTGCTATTTATTGTACACTTTCGTGCAAAGTGGTTGGAATGAATCTCTTCCTGTCCAGAATGCCGCCTGAGATTTGGTGAACGAATCCAGTGTGTGTGTGTGCCCCTTGTAGTCACAGGGATTCAGTTGAATTGTTTCTTCAGCAGGGGGCCAGGATTCCCTGGCGCGCGTCCTGGCCAACGAAGACCGCGCGCCAGGGAGGTGAAAACGTACCTGCTATTGTTAAACTGTTGATTGGTTGCTGTGGTCCCTTGGTTTGTTTCATGGTGGTTCATGTACCTGATGTTGTTCCAGGAGGTGTTTAGGTTTTCAGGTACTTCATAAAGGGCTAATGCACGTTTCGCCGTCATCCTGTCGCTCGTCCGTTTTTCGGCTTGAGCTCTGGAGATCATTAACTTACCTGAACCTGGAGATGAGTCACAGTCCTGCACGCACGTCGTCAACCTGTCGCGTGATCGTCGATGCTATTGGCTTGGTCTACCTGTACCCTTAGGAAACCGCTGTCAAGTCAGTACGCATTTCCATAAGTGTGTTTGGCCTCGTGCCAACCCGGGATGAGCCCGTAGAGTGCCTCGCGTGGACTCGTCGAACGGGGGTTTGTCGTTATCTCCCCTGCCCGGAGATGTAAGTGTCCGGAGTGGACAGCAGATGGCTTATGCCACAAGAAGTGGGATGTTTGTATCATTTTGGAATTCCAAGTTGGCTCATGCCTTTACGTGACCGCAGCGGTCAGAGGTGGCCGCCCTCGGGCACGTGGTCGCAGCGACCGAAGTTTGTTCAAGGTTCATTGGAACCTGTCGCGAGCTTAGTCCCCCCTCCTTCCCCTTCCCTGCCCTTTCTTTCCTTGCTTTTTGGGGTTTTCCTGAATGGAAGACTCAGGATCGCCCCTTTCTTTCTTTGGTGTGTCCCTGGACGATTGTTCGTAGCTGGGAACACCTGCCTTTTCCTTTTCTCTCCTCTCCCTTTCTCTCCCTCTCTCTTTCTTTCTTTCTCTCTTTCCTCTCCACCTTCCTTCCTCCTTGGGTGTCCCTGGATGCTTTGTCATAGCTGGGAACCCTGCTCCGCTCCTCCTTTGGTGTGTCCTTGGACGCATGCGTCGTAGCTGGGAACACCTTCCTTTCTTCTCTTTCCTTTCTCCCTACCCCTAAACTGTTGATTGGTTGCTGTGGTCCCTTGGTTTGTTTCATGGTGGTTCATGTACCTGATGTTGTTCCAGGAGGTGTTTAGGTTTTCAGGTACTTCATAAAGGGCTAATGCACGTTTCGCCGTCATCCTGTCGCTCGTCCGTTTTTCGGCTTGAGCTCTGGAGATCTTTAACTTACCTGAACCTGGAGATGAGTCACAGTCCTGCACGCACGTCGTCAACCTGTCGTGTGATCGTCGATGCTATTGGCTTGGTCTACCTGTACCCTTAGGAAATGGTAACCTAGGCCGGCGTGTGGCACCGCTGTCAAGTCAGTACGCATTTCCATAAGTGTGTGTGTGTGTGTGTGGGTTCCCTCATCGCCAGGGCACACTGAGTGGCATTTGACCCAAATCCGAAACATGCGCTGCAGGAACCTGAAGCATTTACGGTGGCATGTAACTTGCCCATGGAACTGTTCGCTACTCAGTTCGACACTTTGCAACAGCGGCGACCTCCACAGAAACAACAGGTTGTGTCCTTTCATGGTCCTGTGATTCGTTTGGTTCGATGATGTTCGACTCACTCATCTCGCTGTCTTTTGCCATTGCCATCCTGTCTTCAATCGTTTTTTTTCGTGTCGAGTGACGACGGTCTCAGGAGACGCGTCCTGGTCTCGGAACTGGGGCTCGATAGGACGAGACGTGAGACGTCTCGACCGAGACGGTTCCAGACGACGCAGAGACGTGAGACGACGGGAAGACGACGAGGGACGGTCGTGGAATACCTGGAGCAACGGTTCGGGTCTGATTGTTAGAGGGATGGGATGTGAGTTGAGAATATGACAATTGACATCAGTGGCATGAGGGCCATAAGTTGGCTCAAAAGGAGGTCACCTGGCATGAACAAGAGCTCAATCATTTTGAGCCATGTCAATAGGCACATAGGATCTAATTATCCACCAGGCTGGAAAAACAAAAACTAGCGCTTGCCGCATTTTTGTGCCATGAGCGATGATGACTGGCTCACGGATCAACCCTCCAGGCCCTTGCCGGGCGACGAATCAGGACAAAAAGTGAGGCCGGCGCCGAAGCTGCTGCAGCGTCCGAAGGTCGAAGATGCCTCCGAGAACTCCGAGAAGGTGGAGAAGCCGGTGGTGAAGACCTTGAAGCAGAAGGAGGTGGAATACGCAGCGGCCCGAGCTCGTATCTTCGGCTACGATGCCAATGGTTCCGGCCGCGGCGCCTCCGGAGCAGCTTCCCGTGGGCGAGGAGCTGGCGCGCGGGGGGCGCGCGGGCGGGGAGCCGCGCCCCGCGTGTCCAGCACCGCCGGACAGGGGCGGAAGGCACGGGTGGATGCTGATGATCCCGACTACGACCGAAACCCACATCGCTATGCTCCGCGGCTGAATGAAGGCGAGGAGCAGAGCGAACCGATCCACTTGAGGTATGCGTACGCCGAGAGAAGCGAAGGAACTGCGAGACCGATGGCGCCGACCTATGACACTGAGTTCCCTTCCTTGTAAGTCTTTTCAGCATGAAAAAGCCGTTTCACAGAATGAGATCGAACAGGGCTCATTTTCTTGGGGGAAAAACGGTGGTGCAAGTGGTACGATCCCTTTTGGCAGATGCCTAACTGGCTCTCTGCTCTTCCGCATGTCACATGTCTTTTATTTTTCTATCTGATTCCAGCCCTAACCGACTGGTCTTCCGCTGTGATTGCTGTGGCAGGACGGCGAGTTCTCAACTGCCGCTGGAAGCACAACAGCTTTGTGGCTTGGTTCGCACCTGCCGCCGCGATCGCTCCGGTTTGACCTGTGGAGCTGACCGTGGCAATCGCAGCGACCGTTTCGGGATCCGAAGGGTGAAGGTAAAGGGGATCGAGCCAGGACTGGAACGGCCAAGACTGGAATCAATGACATGCTGGAGTCTGCTGATTTTGAAGGGACTCAGATTTTCGAGACGCTTGGAAGGGCCGATGGAGATTGGAATCACCACTCTGAGGTGATGCCCTCCTTTTCCCGGAAGAAGCGCTGGGCTTACAAACGGCAGACTCAGACTGGTCACTGGTGTTGTGAAGATTGGTAGTGATAGGTGTGCATTCGAAAAGCCCTAGTCATCCTCACCTTTCATCATCTCACTCCAATGGAGATCCCCATCTCCAAATCCACGGGTAGGGCAGTAGGGTCAACCCAGCTGGGTCGAAACCGGGTCAACCCAGCTGGGTCGACCCGTTTCCTCGGAAGGGACGTTTTCTAGACGGATATCCCACTAAGCACAGCTGAGCCCTGAGTAGAGGCGAAGCTGATGAGCAAGAGAATGTTGAGACCTGAGCTGCAGGACTTCGATCAGATCGGTTCCGGCCGAGTGGGCCACGAAGCAAACAGACATCCTCATGTCAAAGAGGAGGGAAAAGGCCACCTCGAAGTCGGAACTACGGAACGATCACATCGACCCGTGAATTCGACCGTTCTCATCAAATGCTGGGTTTCGTTTCTACTCCAAGTCGACATGGCTTTTCGTGCCGTCACTCCAGTGAGGGGCGGTTTTGTAAGGCGGTCTGAAGACCTTTCCGATCTGCATGTGTCGCGCTCAGTTTGGCGGTTCGGCACTTGGGACCCAACATCGAACTTGGTGAAGCCCACGGGCCTTCTTAAGGGCCCTTGTCGTCCGCTTGAGTCGATCAAGCAGGGTTCTGCAGGCAGAATTGAATAACACTAAGATTTTTCTTTTGATACTGGCGGCCTTGAGAAGTTCTGAGCGTTCTTGAGACACGCAGCATATGCGAAGCCGACGAGTGGCTCACTGCGGGCGGCTCACTGCGAGGAAAGTCGACTTGCCTTGCGACGGAGAGAGGAGTTCTTGCCCTGCTGGCTCTTGTTCGTACGCAGCTAGAAGGTCAATGGAATTCTAGATGCGACTTCCTTCGTTTTCTTAGATGCCTTGCAGCACAACAGACATGATCAACTCGAGCCTGCTTCGATACACATACGACATCATACGACCGACATCCACCGGAAGCCTGGCATCCGCCGTAAGCCGTGTGTGAAACCTCCGTCTGAGCGTTGCCAGGCATCGCTTTGGCTTCAATGCCAAGGAGCGTGCAGAGGTCTTGCGGATCCTCAACCAGTTGAAGACGAGCAAGGCCCGTCCGCCACCTGTCGCCGCTTCTCCGCCCGAGCAGAACGGACCTGAGCAGAACGGTGGGGAGTTCGGGGACCCGGTTTTCTGCCCTTCGTTTGGTGACATCCGAGCGGTGTGATTGGTTCTCGGCAAACTAGGAACACCTTGAACTCTTTGGCTCGGGGAGATGGTTCTTCCAAGGCAGAACGAACATGTGATACTGTGAGACTTTGGCATAGCCGAAAGCTTGGTTCATTCCAGATTGGCTACTTGGATGAGAGGATTCAGGTCAGATTCTTGTAGCCCCAAAGTCCCCTCCCATATCCTTCCACACTCTTGTAGCACCTTTCATTCGAAGCAACAGGGACGGGACCAGGGCCATGCTTCCGTTGCGTGCCTATGATCTTTAGGAAGTAGGTCCAACTTGGCGTGTGTATGAAAGGGCCATCGTACGAGTATACCACAAATCCTGCCGCATGGTGGACCTGCAACCTGCACCGGACCGGCTTCACATCACGACTGGCTGTGCGCTGTCGCCTCCGGGTCCAGGAGCGCAGTGCTGCGCTGCAACAGTTTCGTGTGCTGGGACAAAGGACTCCCGATTTTATTGTTGGAGACTCAGCTGGCTTCACGCTTGGGTGTGAACTCATTGGGTGATGATTCTGGGATGGAGATGTGGGTTCGCCTCCAATGTGAAACAAAACAGGGAGATACTTGTCAATGGGTCGAACTCGGGGTCTCTCCCCATGTTGTGGGACACAGGAACAGCTGCTTTCTATGCCCTTGTGAAGACAGAAACTTTTGGAGTGTGCCCCCCCAAAATGGCAGTTTACTGGCGATTTCTTGCTTTTGCAGACGAACTTGGCTCTTGGGCGGAGGTGGGGCGCTTCGCCAAATATGCACGGAGCCAAGCCTTTCACCCTACAAGAGAGTGTTTGCCTTCCTTGAAAGCCTCTATAAGAGCCTCCAAGCAACTTCTAAATGTTCGTGAACAGATTTTCTTGAACATCTTGCTTCTCTGTGAGGTGGAAGGGCTACTTCGGTGGTGATGCCCCCAGGGCCGAAGTTGTACCAGGTTTGAAGTCGAGGCTGTGAGCCGATCCCGTCGCTGAGGAACCAAAACAAGGCCGTGGAGGATGACATCGACGTCTACGAGGCCTGTGACACATGTCGAAAAGGGTCATAAACAATTCCGTTTGGATGCAAATTCGCATATGGGGGAATCACTGACCCGTCACTGCCCTGTCGTCAACAAGCTTTTGAACTGACAAGACAAGACCTTCAAGAAAGACCCATGTCAGGCGCCGGAAGAGCCTGCAGCGGACCAGCCGCTTCGACCGAGCGTTGTTGCGGTGGAGCCAATGCTTGGATTGCAGGCGCGGAGAAACCGGAGAGTGCCCCAGGTAGGTGGGTCAACACCTGGGGTGTTGGTGCATGGTGGGTCGGCCATGAGGCTGATTTTGGTGAGTGATGTTTCTGATGCTTTAGGCCTGGTTGCATCCAGGGTGACCCTCGGTTCCGCCGGGTTCAGTTGGGTTTTCTTGAGGGCCTTGCTCTGACGCTTCGTCACCACTCGCCATCCCTGGTACTCCCCGGCCGTCTTTGTTGTGCTTTGTTCTGAGCAAGTTTCCAGCACTCTCTTCCAAGAAAGCACCCCAAACCATGTGATCCTCATTTTCTGTTCGACAAACTGACTTCCTGACCGCGGGCAAGAGACGTGTAAGAAGCATCGCATCAGATCTGCAAGATCGAGACCAAACAAATGTTCACAATAGGCTCGGCTAGGTGGGCACGTGCACGTGCCTACCTAGCCGAGCCTATTGTGAACATTTTTTTGAGAATGAGGTACCCACAGCCGTATTCCTTGGCACTGACTTCCATTTGAGCAATAGACAGTTCAACTACTTGTGTATTTTTGTGCAAACGTGCGGAATCTCAGCAATGTCCCAAATGTCGTTTGTAAATGCATTTTTCCTGCAGCTCTTCGATTCAAGAAGTTTATTTTTTGATGGTTCAAGAATTGATCTTTGGTCCAAGGAGGTTCACTGGTTCTATCTACTTGCGAATCCAGGGCTTCAAGACTTTGGTGATCACAGTCTGCAGGCCCAGGAGCTGCTCCGAAGTCTTCAAAGCTCGCAGGGGGATCTCAGCTCCGATCGCTGCCCAAGACACATCGATCAGTCAGAGCCACCAGTCCGTGGGTATCCGTGGGGTGTCTCCCACTTGACCCAACGAATGAGCAGTTGGCCAAATCAGTCCTGGCACATCTTCAACACTGACTGGGTCCGCCACCCAGGCCACAGGAAGAGAGCGAGGAGAATCTCCGGGTGCCTTGATGGAGCATCCAACAGCGCGGGGGGACGAGTCGATGTGGGTTGAACGAAAGTCTTTGGTTGAACGAAAGTCTTCCTGGGAAGGTTTGAATCTTGGGCAAAGAACAATCTAGGTCCTCGGAAGAAATATTTACCTTCTAGACACCACACAGCTTTTGTCAAGATCAAACCCTTCTGAAGCCTTCTGTATCTGGATTGGACTCCATGACTTGTTTTATCACGTGCCTCCTGTATGATCCCTGTGCCTCAAACAAATTCACATCCGACAGCCTGCTACCAACGAGGTCGATGGGCCTCTGCAAATTCTGACCGAACCTGCTTGTGCCTCAGGGAAGGGAAGCCGAAGAGAAGCAACCAAAGCACAAAGTCGAGCAGTGTCATTCTATTTGGTAAGTCTGGGTGCCTTGTTCCTGACAAGTGTTACAGTTTTCTATCAGTTTGCTGGGTAAACTGACCATACACCGTTCATTCGTTTGCAGCTCCGTCAGAAATCAAGCAAATCTATCCGATGTGGAAACCTGTGGTCGCTGACCAAGGTTTGGTGTGATGTTTGCGGCCTGACAGAGAAGCAGGCTGATTCGCCAAGGGTCAGGCTGATTCGCCAAGGGTGTAGACATTACTTTTTCCGGGCTATAGCCGGGCTATACAGACGACACAGGAGGAGGATTGTTGAAACAATCCTGCAGCCGAACTGAACATCTCGTGCAGTTCGCCTGCAATGCCAAGCAGTGTTCGCACGCCGCTTCGCTGGATAGGTCTCTGTTTGCACGGCGAACTTGTCCGTAAAGATGCGCTTGGAGCCGCAGAGCATCGCTTGTTGCAGCGGCTGAGGATGACGCGGAAGTCGTCGATGGAAGTGGAGTTGGTAGCGGTGAATCAAGGCTCCAAGTAAGCAGCAGATAGTAGCAGAGCATTTCGATGCGACATGTTTTTGCATAGAGGCAGAGGTCTATTCCTTATACCACGCTCCCAGGGCGAGGGTTGGCTCGCTGGAACGTTCATTCCACCGTCATCCGAACACTCTGCCGGAACCGAGGTCAGCCAGGAATCTTTGGTCGAAGAGCTCCCTGTCAGCCGGTCCGTCGCCCAGTGAAGGGTGAGAGGGCGACGATTTGGTCGACTCCCAACGCTACGAACGGGTCTCCTGGCATCGCTACGAACGGAGCGTTCGGACGCTCAGAACGGGCTCCTGGCAATACTACGAACGGGGCAGGTTCCGTCTTTCTGAGACCACCAAGTGACATGGCTTCGTCCGACCATGATGGCTTCGTGTCGGGGCCTATCGAAGACATGAACAAAGCCGAGTACATTGGCTGCCAACTCGGATCCTGATGGCCCATCCCCCGAGGTTCGGCGGCGACGACAGGTCAGGGATGTGAGACAATGGGTGGCCAAAGGAGGCCAGAAACGGGTTGCAGAAAGAACCAGGATTTCCATGGATTTCCGGCATTTGGCGCTGCTCCAAGTTGTTGCAGTGCGTCTTCTTGTGAGACGTATTGACTTCTAGCTAGGTGGCAGAGGTGCACAAGAGGAGCAAGAGGAGCAGCACAACGGGCCGAAACAGATGGAAACTGAGGTCGGTATAGCATGCGGCCACGCCGCACTTTGTCCACAGCCATGCGGCCATGCGGGTGACACGAGATTTCTGTCCATGAGTGACGTTTAAGCCTTTGAAGGACTCCTCAAAAAACATTTGAATCGATGGGACACTGGTGGTCCTGAAGTGCTGGGATTTCGTACATCGTTTCCTTTGACATGTCAAGGAGTCGGATGAGGATGAGTGTGAAGAAGAGGCGAGCTTGTCTCCGATAGAGTTTTGCATGGGTTAAAACATGGGTCATAGAACAAACAGGGACGTCTTCCAGAGGAAGTATCGGAAATCGATGAGCATCTGATTGATGCTCATTGTCAATACTTACTCAAGTTACTGTCAATCTGTGAATCAATCGAGTCCGGAGTCGGACTGGGGAGTCCGGAGTCGTCCGGTCTCGAAGGGGCGAAGAACCAACCTGATTCGTTCGCATCATCCGGTTCGACATCGGACCGGGTGACATCTTTTACCGGATAGAGACATAAGACAGGCAGCGAGGTTCATTTGGGGGGTAGACATGAAGAATTGTAATTCTTAAGCTCACCCTGATGAAGATTGCACTCAGTTGAGAGGTCCCTACTTTTGCGAAAACCCAGATGCAAGCCTCCACATCCCCACATCCGGCTTCGCACGCTGAACGGGCTCGTCCACTTCACCGCTGAACGTCACCCGGACGGGTCACCGGAGGTGGATGAGGAAGACGACGAGGACGTGGAGGACGACTCCGAGGCCGAGGCAAACGAGGCGGCGTGGCGGACTTCTCGACTTCCTCGGTCTGTTTTCGGAGCACAAAGCGGTGATTTTGGGAGAAGAGAGTTCGGCAGATGCACCAGATGAAGCTGAAGCTTTTCAGATCGGACCAGAATGGTCCAAAAGGCGGTCAAAACTGTGATGCAGCTTGACCAGGACACAGTCACCTCATCTTCCATGCCGAGAAGGCACCACACCTCTGGGCACAGGGTTGTGTTCGCCAAGACTTCTGGCAACATATTCACTGTGACGCTGACGCTTTACGAAGAAATGGTCGCCATCCATTGTCTTGAGTACCAGGGTTTTTCAAGGCGAGTGCTTATGATTGAGGATCGCCTAGCTTCTGGGAACAACATGGAACAACTATATATACGTATGTGTATATATATATAGACACACTGTATCTTGTTTTTATTTGGGGGGTACCGCCAAAGATGATGAGATCCTCACACTTTCAGATGCAGACCGAGAATGAACAGATTCGGGTTCCAGGCCTGGTGTATGAGTACTGGGCTACAAGGATGTGTGGGTTTCCTTCAGGTCCAGAGTCGCTGTCGCCTAGGTGGATGAGCCGAGCGCTTTCTTCAACGCAGCCAGCGCCAGGAGCTAAGACATTGACAACAGTCAAGCATTTGGTGGTGCCTGAAGAGTAGTTCCTTTATGACATCACCTTTCCATTGAAAGCAGTGGGTCCCGTTGTCTCTAGTGTTTCTCAGTTGGTCAGGAGACCAAAAAACATATTTGGAGGATGGCTATATACTGTATATAATTATAAGCTGCGGCATAATATGGCAGACTGGGGATGGTTTAACAATATGACTGGTCAGTCCCATCATCCCAACATATCCCAAACATTTTGCAGTGGCTTTTTGATGGGTTCCTCGAACTAACCAATTGATGACACGTTTGCTGCCAGACTCTGAACAATCCCCTTTTTTGGTGTTTGCTCAAATTGACAAACTATTTTATCTTATGAATCTTATATTATATTTTACTATACTATATATATATAGATTTATTTGCATTTTTTGCATTTGCTGGTCTTTGACTTTGCTTCATGTCGTTGAGGTGTTGTGCTTTGACTGCAATAGTGTATTGCACTTTCTCAATCACCCAAGAAAACTGTGCACTCACAGACAGCGGAACTTCCTGCACGTGAGGCCTATGACGAATCCAAGCAGCAAGGCAGGGCAAGAGAACACTCTTGTTGAGTCAAAACAGAACATCCAAAACCTGGTGGGAGGCAAGCATTCACCTGCCTGTTCAATTCATTGTGTGTTCAGCACAGTGTTTGGCTTTTGATCCATGCATATCCATGGAATACGTTGGAGAGACCGCAGATGCAGTTTTCGCCGTGCTTCAGACCTCTGAAGAGTCTTCCAGAGAGAGGCGCGAGGTCTTTGGAGTCTGACAATGCAGGGCTGAAGGGATTCACAGGGTGCTGACGGAGATGTCTCGCCTGAAATCACTTGGCATGCTGCAGTCGGAGAGTAGCCACCTTTCTGACAAGCTTTGTCCTGATCTGCTTAAGGACGAAAAAAATTAAAGTCAGAGCTAGAAGGATCAAGGTGATTCCTCTTTTGATTCTTGACAGATTAAGTGCAAGAATGAATCTGAGGGTTCGTACGGCTCCTTCGTAGGCACCACAAAAAGGATAAAAAAGCACCACATTGTGGGGCGTGGATTGATGCAGATTCTTGAGAGAGATTTACCCCAGCAACTTATCCATTTCACCTGCAATATGCTAATTCCTTGGATTTACTGCCTGACAAGCCCTTTGAGGATCAGGATGGCACAGCTGAGCCATGTTCCAGGCGATTACATACTGACAAGCACCGCCCAAAAGCCTCCAAAAGCTCCAAAAAGGAAGTTGCTCTGCAGCCCATCCTGGGTGACACCATCCTCAAATGATCATCTTCACCCCCTTCTCTCGGTCCACCTGCAGACCTGCCAGACCCGGTGGACTTCCACCCGCCACTGGCGTCGGTCGGATTCTCAGGTCGGAGAAGGTCAAGGACCTGGAGAACTTGGTCCATGAGTTGCTTCAAGGAGCGACCTAGTCCTCTTCATGCCGCGCCTCTCTTCCTCAACTTGAACGTTTGTTCTGGCGCGACCAAGTTGCGCTTTCTGAAGCACATCGTTGGGGAGCACGAAGACCGGGGTGTCTCTGGACCGTCAGAACCCTAGGCTGTTTTTCAGCCTTCGAAGCATCGGACGCCGAAGGGGCACAGCTTTCACGCCGAAGGGGCGAGGTCATTGTTTTTTTCCTTTTCTTTGCAATCCACTTCTATGATTCCACACACTTATAGAAATGCGTACTGATGTGAATGCGGTGCCACACGCCGGCCTAGGTTCCCAATTCCTAAGAAAACAGGTGAGGAAACCTGAAAGGGAGTAGAGGTCCATCCAGTGGAGGTCCAGTAAGTTTCAAGTGGCCAGCAGATTGAAAGAAGCCACCGATCGAGCGAACGACAAGCTGACGACGTTCGTGCAGAAAAGCCAAGTTCACAACCCAAGGTGAATCACCGCTGCATTAGCCCTTTACTGAAGGAAGCAACGAAATAGATAGCTTGTGCTCTACGTAGGTTTCTCTCCAAGCAGGTACGTCAATCCGGCGTCCCGGATTGATTTCACATACCCGTGCAAGCGTCTTTGTTAGTGCCAGACTTGCACTGTCCATGGCACCCCCTGCTGAACAAAGGAAAAAAATTAGGAGCACAATCCAAATGGATCCCTGTGACTACAAGGGGCACACACACAGAGAACATGACACGTAGAAAAAGGCGGTTTGAACTCAAGCTGCTGGGCTTCTCTGCAGGAAATGGCGGTCAGGTCGATGGCATGTGGCTTGCCGGTAAGGCCCTTGTTGCAGATCTGATTTTGTCGTGTGCTTTTGCCGCCAAAGAGACCAAGACCAGCCCCTCTCAATGAGAAGGCATTAGATGCCAAACAAGGCTTTGTCACTGGGAGTTAGTTTCTGTTAGTAGGAAATCATGAGAATCTGAAAGAGGGATCATCAAAGGCGTGGTGAACGGGGTATCCAACCGGGCAAACCAAGGTATCATTTTTTGCACCCGCAGGACATGCACTTTTCAGATGCGAAAGCTCGGTAGACCATTCTTATTCTTGATTTTGCAATACATATTTTGAAACAACCTCTATATAAAGGACTTTTGCGGCAGTGGGGAACATGACATTGTTTTCTTCAATGTTGAACTGGCGAGAAGACCAGATTTTAGATTGGTCTTTCTAGGTAGATGCATTCGTAGAAGATTGGTTCTCTTGCAGGTGGCAACAGGCTTCAACCTGCATGTGCGCGAGAACAGCAAGCTCAAGTCTCAGTGGGACAGCTCGGCAGAGAGAGCCGAGAGCTGAAAGAGTCCTCAGAACCTCTGAGGCGCAGTGACGGCAGCCTCAAGAAGTGGTTGATGTCCATACCAGGCGAAGCGTCGAAGTGTAAGAGGATGCTGGGAGGATGGATCGAAAGAATTGTATCGAACGACCTATTTGATAGGCTAACACCGAGGAGCCCCGAACATGGAAATTTGACGATCAAAACCCCCCCCGGCCAGACATGAATTGTAAAGCCTCTTCAGGCTTGCGGGGGGTTGAAATCTCATCAAGAGTATCCATGACCCCCTCCAAATGAAGACACCAAGTCCTCCAACTGGTTTTCAATCTGCATTTCCCCCAGCCAGTCCTCCACTTTTCTTGCTGGACGAATCGGAAGGGATGTGCGGAGGTGGAGGTGGAAGCACCTTCCATGTGTCTAAAGTATCAATGTCTTCCCCTTTGCGTTCTTTCGTGCTTTCCTATTTCAAGGTGAGTCGAGTTGAAGATGTCTCTTTATAATCGACCTCTTCCGCACGGTCTGATCTGCTTCTCCACCGTCGATGTGAGGCGTCGTGGTGGAGACTCCAAAGGACAATACGGAACAGTGGCGCGTCAGATGTGTCTAGGCGTGGAGTCCTCGTTCTCTGTTTCCCCAAACGAGACGACTGGTTACGACCAGATGAGATGTCGATGGGACGGTTGTCGATGATGTCAACATTTCTCCTTTTCGGTCCTTCGCATCATGGCCGTTCGGATGGTGAGCTCGCGTTTCTGAGTCGGGCGCAAGGTGCTTTCGCGGATTTATGAAGGTTGGCCAGTCAGGTCGAAGACTTTTCCGCTTTCCTGCTTTCCCTTGAGCCCTTGAGCCCGAAAAGATGCATCAAAGACCCTGTCCACAGGCGCACCCACAATGGCATCGAGCGACCCAAAGTGTGCAGAGATTGAAGCGACCGCTGAAGCGGGTGCACGGTGAAGATATTGCATCCTCTGATACTCAATTTCAATGTGACAGATCTTGTATATAGGCAAACGCAGAAACAAATATGGCCCGCCAACAAGAGCGCGGCACCTTATTTAATCACTTTGCAGTAGCAGGCCCCGCTTGAAGGTTTGCTGGATACTGCAATGCAATTTCTGGTAGTCCTGGCATGGTCTACGGAGCTTCGCTCTAAGCCGTGCTTGGCATTTAGTGTGGACAAGAAGGTCAATGGACGCTTGTTCACTCCGTACACGGCAGTCTGTGAAGATATGCGTTGCTTTTCAGCACCTGTAGATTCATGTCTTCATGTCACACCACTTGAACCTGCTCCAGCGGCAACCCGACCTTTGAAGACGACAGTGAAGACAGTTCTGCCGTGTTGCCAGGCACTTTTCCCTCGCCCATGGTTCGAAAAGGTATTCTCAATCAATTGCAGATGAATACCAACCCTCTCACCCGAGCATTTGGTTTGAGAAGACCATGGGAAGGATTGGAGCGAGCTTTGTTTTTTAGCCGTTTTTGAACGCCCGCCACCGTCGTCGTAAAGCCAGTTTTGCCAGTTTTTCTTTGTTGGGTGGAGCGTTTTCTCACGGCATGCAGGAAGTGGTGGTCATCGCATAATGCCATCTTCGGCGGCCATCACCTTGCTCGCCATGCGCCACGCGCATAAGATTGTTCCAACTCGCTAATTTTTGGAAGCTTGGATGGGCTCTCCCTTGCAGATCCTTGAAGAAGCTCCGCAGGTTGTTTTTTTCTCAGCCTGTGCCCATCCAATGGTGTTCCCGGCCAAGCACTTGTAGCTCAAGTGTGGGCCATGAGATTCATGTAGCTCGAGTGGGCGACCCTCATTCAGACGGGCTTGGGCAGGCCACGACACTTTCAAAGCAATGAACAGAAACCTTCTCAGATGGGACTCTCAGGATGGACATAATCCCCGTCAATCCTCATCAAGGCGACATCAGCATCCCCCTTTCCAAGGCGTTTCTGGGAGCTTCATCAGTTGAGAAGCGACTTTTTCATGGTCTTCCCCGTCGGACTGCGGAAGCTCCGAAGTGCATGTGTCCTGCGGCATGGGCCATTCGATTCAGCTGATTCAGTAGAGCAAGATTAGCTTAGATCAGCAGACGCCTATGAACACGACTAGTTATGCTTCCTTGGAGAAAGCTTGCCGATTGCAAGAGGTAGCTTTGGCTCAGAAGCTATGCAAAGGACGATTATGATGACAGCTTCAAGGTATGCTTCCTGTAGCCCTGCCTTCCTTGCCCTTCGGATAGAGTTTTCCTAGCAAGTGTTCTGCCCTTAGAATGACGAAGTTGTGTTGCTCCAACCAGCTTTGCAGAGTTGGTGGAGGTTGGTGACCTTTGTTCTCCAAGAAATCCAGGTCTTGGTGGAGACAGTGTGATGGTGTATGATTTGTATATGTTCGACCTCCTCTGTCGAGGTCGCCGTGAACGGGAGAAGAAGAGTTCATGGTTTCTCGAGGTACGGTGGTTGATTGTTAAACATTGTTCTCCAAAAACGCCTATCTTTCTAGATCTTTTGGAGGGTGTCAAAAGAGTCAGGGTAGTCTTCCAGGTCATTTTTCACGTGCAAAGATTTGAGTTTCGTTGCCCATACGGCTCAAAAAGCATTGCTTGTAGGGCTTAGGACCACTACTCTGGGCTGAAGATGGCAGAAGCTACTCTGGCATTGCGGAAGGCCTGCAAAACTGCGTCCTCCTGCGAAGGTTTTGGAGGACTTTTGGTCAAAGGTTTGGCAATAAAGATATTCTCGAGAAGGAAAACAATCGTGGAACTGCTCTCCTCTGTGCAGAGGAACACCCTATTTTCTACTTTATGCTTCGCTCACTTTGGAGGGAGAAGGAGTACCAACTTTGGCCTCAAAGCTGCCATCGTTTTCGTTTCTTTACCGAACGAAGATGCGCCGCATGACGTTTCCGTTGAGGTGAGGCTGATTACAGCCGTGAAGACGCCTTATCAAGCAGATGGAAAGATTGACCTCGAGGTGTGTGTGCATGGGGGATCGTGCTATCACATTCTGATGATTTTCTCCCTCTTGAAAAAAGACAAACGAGGTCAGCTGCATTTTGGCCTAACAGTTAACACAAAACCGTCGTCGACGGGACAATGGGATTTCAGGCCTTTGACAAACTGGTGGAGCACCAGATCGCCAATGGAGCTCCATCCTTGGATGCCAGTTCTCTCACATGTCCCGGCACGTCTGGGGAGATGTACAACATTGTGGTTGACCTCATCCCCTCAAATAGCAGCTTGCTCCCTTGGAAAAGACAAGCCTGATTGTACATTCACCCATGACAGACAACCGGGCACAGACTAGACACCCAAAACAGCAGAACGAACCAAGAAGACCTTGTACCGTGTACCGGTCCTCATGTCACCAACAACATTTCACCATCATCGCGGTCGTCGTCGTCCTCCTCCTCCTCCTCCTCGTCCTCTTCCTCCTCCGCGTCCTCCTCCTCCTCCTCGTCGTCATCATCGTCATTGTCATCAAATATGTTATATATATAAGTTCAGTTTCTCAGAGAATCTAGGAACCGATTGATTAAGGCTCGGTCTTCTTCAAGCAAGTCCCCCCCGCGCACTCAGGCGGGGGGGAAGCTTCCTCGAAGAAGCCTGAGCCCTTCACCTTTTGTGTCCGATCGGTAGTAGCTACTTGTTTTCTGGCTCACCTACTCTGGCTACTTCTTAGCGAATCTGACAAAGCCTACCACCCCCATCCCCGGCTTCACAGAGACAAAGACCTGGGACTTCACCGCCCTGAGAAGCGCCGAAAGAGTTCGGCTCCTGAGGTCGAAGGCCTCATCATCGGAGGCACCACCGGAGAGGGCCACCTCTTGTCCTTGGAGGAGCGAATTGGTCTGGTGAGCCACAGCAAGGCTTGCCCGTTGCGAAAGGGCGCGTTTCGCGGATAGGAAGGGATAGGAAGGGGAAAGAAGTTAGAGACTTCCCCAGTAGGAAGTTACATACTTATCACTATACTGCTTTCACTCTTCACTAGGAAGTGGGGAAGTTAGTACTGACGAAAGTTATGAAGTCGTGAAGAGTGGATGTGGATGTAGCTGCTCTACGTGGACATGTTCTGCAGTCTTTCGCAGTCGGAGCGGTGGAACATGACTCCCTTGTTCGAGTCAATGGCAACCCAGTTCCGTGAATGAAGCCTTTTCCAAATACATCAGAATCCCATCTGCTGAGGCCAAGTTCGGTGGACGGATCTACATCGCAGGGAGCTCAGGTTGTGACAGGCGATGGAAATCAGCATTCCCACATGGCTGTGAGCCGAAGACCTCGAACCCTTGGCGAACACCAAATCAGCTGGTCGATGCTAATCCCCAAGTTTGACCTGTTTGCCCAGATGTATCACACCCGTAAGGAACTCCAATGTTCTGGGACGGATCCATCCTGATGTAACTTCTAGATACAAAAGGTGAACAAAGCGAGGTAGACTCTTCTGTTCTTTCTTGAAAAGACTGGCAGCCTTGTGAGCCGGGCATGTCCCTTAGCCCTTGGTGTTGCCCCCTTTTTCAGGTCGGCAACACCGGCAGCAACCACACCGCCGCAGCCCGGATCTCACAGCGACCGAGACAAGGAACCAAAGAGATTGCACTGCACAGCTTGCCTTTTCCTGTTTTCTCACTATCAATTGAGTGTGGTTTTTGATGGAACATTTGTTGATTCTCAAGAGTTCAGCCGCCATTTGGAGTTCAGTGCCGCATTGGATGGTGAAAATACCCAGCCATTGGAGTTTTCACTGATGGACGAGTTGGATGGAATTGAACAGGAACTCATGTGTACCTAAAATCTGAGTGACCTCTACTAATTAGTATTTTGGATCACCAACCAACCCCAAAAACCATACTCTTTTGCGATCAAAAAACAGGGGTCACCTTCTGGGTTCGAGGTAGACATGTACTGTATATATATATATATAACATGAGTGGGTGACTCCTAGTTCCGCTGGCTCTTAGTTCTGGTTGGCAACTTGGCTGTGGCCCATTGCCCTGCTTCCCCCTCCGGCTTCCAGCTCGTTCCAGCTCACCAGGCTGTCCATGCTACGGAGAAGGGCTTTGCCGGAGGCTCAAGGACAGTTCTTTTGATAAGCTGCGAGGGGAAGCCCCCCCACATGGATGGTTGAATGGGGAAAATAGATCCACTATGAAGGGATAGACTCTACCAGGTTTTTGGGTTTTTGGCTCAAGAAAGAGATGGTTAACATGTCAATCACCATGGGTTTTGTTCGAAACCAAGTGGATGTTGCTTGGATTGCTTTTGTGGATGATTTCGTCCGATCTGAGGCGGCCGGGATGGACGCAGCGCTTCTCATCAACCCATACTATGGAGACCTGACCAAAGTTGGGTTTGTCTCCAGAGAAGGGGGAATACAAGGAATGAGAGAAATATGAGGCTATGACTTCCGGAAGGGAAATGAAGGAAGATCAACTTGGGCAGGAGTAGTCTATGGTTTGCCGCGAGGAACATGGATGGGCATACCTAGGAATTGTTCAGGGGAACTCACTCAATACTCATGTCCTTGGGCACAACTATATAATGAGCTGACTCGTACTCCCACACCCCAGAACCTCCTCATTTTCCATTCTTTATATGCAAGTTTCACGTCCTACCCTGGTTGCGAGTTGAGCGCCCACGCTGGTGAAAACGCCTCGAGGTGTGATAAAGGATTCGCCTCTCCAGGCGTTTGAGTGAACCTCGTTTCAAGGAGTGCAATCACGGGGAGTTCAGCCCTTTTTGGTGAGTTCTGCCAGGGCAGCCAGAGGTAAACAAATGCACCCTGTATGGAGTTGGAGAGAGAGTCCAAGCCAAACACCTTTGGACTCTCTTTGGAGTCTCTTGGGGGGTCCCAGAACGCGAAACAATACGGCAAGAACTGAGGCAAGACCTCGGACTCCGGTATTGTCAGGAGCCTAGAAGCCATCAAAAACAGACATTCATTTCAGTAGCTCAGTAGAGGGTGAATGTGGGGAGAGTCCTCCCCAAAGCGAATCACCTTCCCTTGAACAAGCAAGACAATACCCGCAAAGAAAGATAGAACTGGCGTTATGTCATTTTATTTTCCAGGTGGTCAATTCAACAGAGTTCTCCCTTCCTTTGATCTCGTCTCCGCACCCGTGGTTTGATAGTCCCTTCGCTTCTGAAGCTTCAGAAAGGCCGACAGGATGTGGATGTACCCCAAAGAAAGGCCTTGGAGGTCGGTCACGTGGTTTAGAGTTCACGGAACCAGGTGAGACAAAAGGAGAAAGAGGAACAAGAAGAGGAAGAAGAAGGAAGAAGAAGAAGCGCACAAACAAGAAACACCCAAAAGTCACGGCCTCGCCGACCGAACACCCACATAGGTTTGAGGGGTTTCTTCTTAGGTCATGCACTTGGAGGCCGCCCTGAAGTTTGGCCCTGCCTTCATCTACAACGCGCCTTCTGAGGATCAGAACACAAAGACTCTAGAGACGGACGACTCCGTCGACTCCGTCGACTCCGTCGACACGTCGTGTCGGACCGACACGAGGTACCGGGGCGAACCGGTCAGGACGGGAAGCGTCGGAGTGAGGGAAGCGGAGCGATTGGGAGGACTCACCTCTCGAATCACCGAGTCGCTGGTAGGAAGCGCCGCGGGCTTCCCGGAAGCATGGATGCGTGGCCCTGAAAAGATCTGAAAGAATCCTAAGGCAAAGTTTTGAGATTGCAGATGAACTGAACAGTTTGTGCTGGTCTTCTGAATCCAAGGGGATTCTTCAAGCGCCAAGCGCGATTCTTTTGGTGTCACCAAATCTTGAGACATCAACATTTTCATCTCTGGGAGGACATCAAGCCTGAGGTGATCATGAAGATTAAGGATCATCCGCACTTCATCGGCGTGAAGGCGTGACTTCACGATGTAAGGCGTGACTTCACGATGTCCACCTCTTTCACGGCTTCGGCAGCCCAGGAATGCATGGGAAACGAGCGCATCAAGGACTGCGAGCGATGGGGTTGCTAGATTCCTGGCACCTTACGACGGCTAAGAATTCGGTGCTTCCGCGACGCATGTTTGTGGCGGTAAACCATCCGCGCCACATGTCGAACCTGGATGTGGCTCCAGAAAGAATGCTGAAAAGACGTGCAGGTTGGGGGAGTTTGGTTCCAGATTTTAAACTGAACTGCTCAAGGTGTGCCTTGAGTCGGTGACCCAGGAGCTCTCTGACCAGGGCATCTGCTGCTGGTCCGGCAACGACGACCAGCCACTCGGGCGACTGGACATTGGGTGGTGATGGGCTCAAGGACTTTTCGAAGAAACCAGAAGTTGTTACTGAAAAGTGGAGTCAGAGTTGCTCATAGTATATAGTTTGGTGTAGTCATCAGTCTGCACCACGGGAGGAAGTTGTTTTGTACAGCTCCTGCTGTATTCATTATCCTCAGCTTCTTGATCAGGGAGTTAGTTTCCCTCTACCCGTTGGCCAAAGACACATCCTCATTGTCAGACACCCAGAGCTTTCTTCCGGGGTGACACAGCGGCAAAATTGTGTTCATCTGGGTCCTTCAGCGGTTCTTAAACAGGGGGCCTGACGACGCCCACGCCAGAAGTTTCTATGTATGCTTCGCTGAGGGCCTTTTTATTGCCAGAGGACACCAACAAGCTTCACCCAGTGATTTAGACACAGAGTTTTGACTGCTCAGGGCGGCCAGGCCATGGCTTCTTGACCTTGATACAGTAGCAACAACAGCACCACTTCTGTGAAACTAGTGTAACTAGTGGTTCCAGACTGGCATGAATAATGTCTTCTTTCTTTGCACTTCGAGAACTGGCATGACCTCATTTTAGATTGGAACGCCAAATCTCATTCGAGCCATGGTGGTGCCATCCACGCCGATCTCAGGATCACTGTCCTTGTCTCAGGTCTTTGATTGTCATGTGCGCCGATACTTGGACGAAGGGGAGTCTTTTCATTGGCAAGACTTGCTGATGCTCGCAGAAATGGCGCTGGCTGCCTTGATCAGCGAGGTCTACTTGGCCTATGTCTTGCCTTCGACGCTTGAGCTCTCAAGATGACCCGAGGGCAAGGTCAACATTTTTTGGGGACTCTCTGGATTCGAGATCACTTGTTGGGGTAAACCACCGTGACGAGCCAGGTATATAAAACGTTCTTTTTGACAGGTGGAGTCAGTGGAGTTGTTTCAGCATTCTCTTTTCCAAGTTTCGTTTCAGAGACTTCATTTGTGTACCTTTGCCAGCAAGGATGGGTTTGGTGAGCAATTCCCCTTCCCCAGTAGCGCCTTTGGCCAGCCGCCTCAGTGTTTTTGTCATGGCTCCACTTTCGTATTTGGTCATGTACGCTGCAGTGTGTGGGTCCATACACTACATCTACACTCAGAAGTATCCAGAGGAAGGTCAAAGGCTTAGCATCCAGGGCAAGCCCATGACGGAGCTGGAGCTTCGTCGGGCTGTGGTCTTCAGTATCAAGAGCATTTTGTCAGTCTCTGCCGCATCCTCTTATGCCTATTATGCCATCCAGGGATGGACCAACATCCATTCTGGCTGGCCAAGTTTCATAGATATTCCATGCCTACTGACTGCCTACATCCTGGTAGATATTTCAGCCTATGTGGTTCATCGTGCACTTCATCGACCCTGGTGGTATCGACATGTGCACAAGGCACACCATTTTTGGACACTTCGTTGCACTTGGCCGACTTCTTGATTTACAGTACCTTGAAAGGTTTTGTCGATAGTCCAGATCGTGCTTCGGAGGGTTGTAGCAAGGTGGTTAGGGTCCCCACCAAAGTCCGTTCAGCTAGTCTTTGCCCAAACCTATGGTTGGAATCAAGAAGAGTTCAGACAGCCTATATGGCTATGGGCCATGGGTGAAAACCCACGCCAAGGAAGAGCCCAAATGCCTTTGTGGTTTCCGCCCTACATCCAGCGGAGTTCCTGTCATTGACGGTGCCAACCTTGTCAATTTTGTCGGTACTACCGGTCAGCATCGTCTCCGCAGTCACACTGCTAGCCTGGATCTTTGTTTGCAATGCCATTGACCATTCAGGCTGGACAGCGTAGGAGACCACACAACAGTTGAACAAATGCGCCTGAGCTTTTCGGATAAGTTTAAGAGCGTTAAACTTCCCAAGCCTGCTTTCAGGACTGAAGCTAGATGAGCTGCCAGCATTATCCTGGCTTTTTTGGCAGGCCCCGGTGGAGTTTCATGACAATCATCACAAGTTCTTTCATGCCAACTATGGAGCTATGGTAGACTGGTGGGATCGCCTGGGAGGCACCTTTTACAGCCCAAAGCAGCATGGCAACATCGGACTTTCAGAGGAGGAGTTTCGGAAGGCCAGCCTCCTCCGCCAGAAGAACCAGTGAGGCCAAGGCCTTTTTTGGGGGACCAACGCTGAAAAACCTGCGCCCTGTGGTGCTTGGCCATGGGGTGCTTGGACTCGGCGCCCTTTTTGCAGCTCTCTTGCGAAGCCATGAGACAAATGAGAAGCCATGGTCGTCCGAGGGACGCCGGGGGTGTGGGATGAAGATCTCCAGTGGAGACGCGCGTCTGTTTCTGCATCGTTCTCGGTTTGACGCCCGACACCGATCTCTCTCCGGTGGATCCCTTGGTCTGTACGCCTCGGCGACCGGACGAACAACGACCCGACCGGTGGCCGTGCCGGTGAAAGAGGGTTGGTTCGACTCGCCGACTCGAAAGCTGAGGATGCACCAGTCCAGACACAAGTGTGGCGCTGTCGGTGTGATCTCTGTGACGTGGGGGCGTCAGAGGCGGTGTGGAGTGGGGCCCGGAGGACGCAGAACGTGTCTGAAGGCGATAGCTCAACGAAGCCAGTCATGGGGTAGTATATAGGGACATTGGGTTGTTTTCTTGTGGGCTTGATGTTCAATGACTCAGGTGGCACAACGGACAGATTCTCTCGCTTGGGTCAGGTTGTATCTCTTTGACCTCCTCAGAGCTATTGATGCAATGGCGACCTTTTTGATAAACCCTGCGCACCAGTGAACACAAGCCATTGTAGGTAGGCAATGATCTTATTGTCTACTCTGTCATTGGTTTGACAATTTGTCCTCGTGGGTGGCCTTCAGATGACGGATTGACACGGACATGACATGGGTGTGTGTTGCCCAGAAAGCTCAATTTTGCTTCCTTGCCCATTCTTTGGGTGAGTTGGACCTTGAAGCGGGTAGCCTGGGTGAAGCATGCAGCTTCAGAGAAAGTGGTTGATCTTCCAATGGCGGCTATACTCATCCATGCAATCCAGCATGCAAATGCGTTCCAGCATGCTTACCAGTTGTGATCACTGGTTGGCTTCTCTAGTCTTTTTCTTTCTTGCAATTGTTCAGTGTCACGCTCCAAAAGAAGGTTCCTCGCCTCGCGTCTTCGACACCAAGGTCCAATGTGGTTCCGGGCTTGGTCAAGAGGCTGATGACACAGGAGGAGCCACCGATGGCCGTCTTGCTTTGGCCTCGGTTGCTTGATGGCCTTTTAAGGGGACACCCCTACTGTCGTGTACAACCAATATGTCAAGTCATTAAGTCTATGAGGGTCTATGACTAACCCCATGACTAACCCTTCGTTATTCATCTCACCAGAGACTCCATTGGAGGGATGAATGCCGGAGTCTCTGCTCCATTGGACGAGTCGCGTGATGGAACGAGGAGAAGTCATTCCGGTAAGTCGCGAATGAGTGCGTCGGGAAGTGGTGGCGAGGATGAGGAACTGAATGCCAAATTGGGGCCGCTCTACAAATGGCTGGAAATCTCAGTTTTATGTGGGCGAATCTTTCGGAGGTGGCTCATGTGTTGTATTTTTTTTTCCTTTTTAACATTGACAAGTTGAATATATAAGTTGAATGTGGATGCTTTTTAGGAACTAGGATGTTAGACCAGGGCATCCGGTTCCGCAAATGATGACAGTTCCTTTTGTTCGACCTTCCTCGTGACCGATCCTGTGTGGGATCCTGTGTGTTGCTCGATCCAGAGGCTCTTCACAGATCCGAATCCCATTGGCATGGGTGCTCAGATGTGCTCAGATGTACCGACCTTGGTCGCAGGGGGAGACAAGACACGGCACTCCCCCCCCCCGAAAACCGCCTTTCTAGAGAAAGGCGCCTGGAAAGCGTGACATGTCCCTAGGTCGTCCAGTCATCAGTCATTCTCACCTGGAAAGGTACCTTTCTAGTTGCCACTGACTGTTGGAGTTGGAGGGTCTTTTGGCAGTCGCTGGCTGGCCATCGTTTTTGACTTCGCTCCCACGTGGCCGCTGTGGCCAGGGGTCAATACGATGCTGATGATGCTGGGCGCTGCAAAGCCAATTTTTCGATTACCATACACCTTTGTGCCCAGGCCTGGGGGATTTTTGGGAAGGAGCAAAACATCGCAAGTGACGAAAAGGGTGATTTGGATGGGTTCCTTTTGGCCTGTGCAAAAAGGCCTTCGAACCAATCACAGGTGTTCTTCCCCATCCTTCGCCTGAAAACTAGACCGTTCAGAGGATGGGTAGGGCACGGGGAGCGGTGAAACCTTCTGCGATCGACTCCCGTCCCACCAGGGATCGACGGCTGGCGGGACTTGAGCTGGTGAAGTCCATTGGTCTCGAGTGGGGGCCGTTCAGAAGACCGGGAGGAGGAAGAGGACGGAGGAAGAGGAAGTTTTTGTTTTCTCCGGAAGTGGGAAACCTCCCCAACCATTAAAAGAAGTGGAAAACCTTTGCAGAGTCTAAGCGGGTCTTCCTTTCGGAGCCATCCACGCAACCATGTGGATGTTAGAGGGAGTGATCAGAGTACGGCCCACACCAACCCACCTTTGGGTCCGTGGCATTGCTGGGATTGTCCGTTCTTTGTGGAGAAAAGAACATATACGGACGACGAGACTCGTCGTGGTGCTTTCTTTCGGTCGGATTGAGAAACATCGGGTTCACCGAATCAGATCGGACACCGACACGAAGCGAAACCTCCCGACCCCCTTGGGATCGGACGTGCGCACGTCCGGTGGACAGGGAGGTGAGTGGGAACCTCCACTGGAGAAGCAAGCGGGCGTCGAAGCGCAAGTGTCCGGTCGTCGCGTCGCCATACGGTTTCGAACCTACCTTTGGAGGTTCGAACACCAGTGGACGAATGCTCAAGCAACTCCTTCACTCCTCCACCTCCCCAGCCTTGATCGGAAGGCTGTTTTGCTAAAATCCTCCATTGCTCGGCTGATGCACCACCTGCGAAACCATGTTTGCAAGACCCTTTCTGTCCGAGGTTCACTTCCGCAAGCAGAAATAGATCGTGCTCGGACTCCATCAAAATGATGAATCAGAGACTAACGATCTGGAATGAGGGGGATCTATATGTATGTATCAAGGCACTCGACGGCTGGACTTCTGGACATGTTTGTGGGAGACAGTTGTGCACTCGAGGCACTGCCCTGCGTTTGGAGAACTCAAGGCGCTTGAGGTGGGGACGAACATTGGTCGAGGAACAAAAGGGGTGGCCACTTCAGTAATTAGGGATTGGGTCCTCTTCCTCTTCCCCTTTGAGAAGAAGTCACTTTCTACTTTACTTCCTGGTCTACTGTAGCCTGCCGCATGATCAGCCATTTACACAGCCTGAAGACGGCAAAGGCACAAGATTGAAATGTGCTGCGCCCCCTTCGGGGGGTTGTGGAACCTGGAACCAGGCACTGTGGTTGAGGGATGTTGTCGGGAGAACAGCAACTGTAACTTTGCCATTTGCTCAATGGACATCTTTGAGATCACTTGAGTTCGTTGAGATCACCCGAGTTGAAACACGTTTTTTTCTCTACTTGAGATTGCCAGACAGAGATCCCTTTGAGCGCAGCATGATCCACAGTACAATCTGTTTATGGCAATACATGCCGAACCTCGTCATCCGAGCTTGGACCTTCAAAGTGACCAAGCTTGAGATCAGCAGCAGTCCAAAACCCAAGTGTCTCTCAAAACGCAAAAACGAAGCGTCAAAACTCCATTTCTGGCCGCTCCCGGGGTCTTCGGGTCCGTCCTGGCACTGGACCCGGCGCGGCGAGCGATGCAGGACGCTGAGTTCCAGCACGTCGTGGCATGATTTTGGAAGCTGCAAGCTTAGTGCATTGGAGAGTGGATGTGATTGTTGACGTCGCTGCATGTCTTCTTCCTGACCATGCTGAGTTCATGTCAAGGACTTGGGCACACTCTATCTAAGGTTTTCGACACTACAGCCAAGCTACTGACTGGCCGGATGCTTCACTTAAGATCTGCGCAGCAGATTAGCGTCCCGGGAAAGTCACTGGCGATGTCATCTGCTCTGAGCTTTTGACCCCCACCGCGAGCGGCGTCTCACGCCGCACCGCGCCCTCCGTGGGGTGCCCCCCTGAGATTGGCGGTCCATCGTCTGCCAGCGGCGCGGAAAGACGGATCACACAGCGGAAAAGGAACATGGGGTGGTGGATGGTGGTGGGGGAACTGAGCAACGCATTCAATGTGGAGTTTGTCATTTGGCACAGGTGTGGTGGCAGAAGCAAACACTTGAGTAATCTATATAGTTCAATTCATATTGCCTCGTTGAATAGAACTTCATATATAATAGGATTGATTATATAATTATATAGGTGTGGTTTGGCAAAGATTTGTAGACACACCAAGATGTTTGTTTCAATCCGTTGAAGAGGAAGAAGCCGGCCTGACATACGTTCGTGCTGCAGGGCCTATGATGAGCATCACTTGTTGGCCACGAACTCAAAATCACACTCTGCACATACCAGGGCAAGAGTGGCACTGATCAGCTCTTATTTTTCAGGGGTTCGTGTGTTTGCCACTTGGTTGCTTGTCCTTCTGTGGCCATGGCAGATGCCGAACTGACTCGCTTGGTGCAAGCGGTGGAAGCCGCCCAGCTGGCCTCCCGAGCCCTGACAGATGAGGACGTCGCCGCTTTGGACCGGGCACGCTCCACGGTCGGATCCACCGCGGCTGAGATCACGAGCGCAGCTCGACTGGAGCTCCGCAGCTTGGCTCACCGGCTCTGGGCCGCCGTGGCACAGGGCCTCGCGACATCGAAAGAAGGTGCCAAGTGTCGCAGCTTGGCATGTGAGCTCTTCGTCGGGAGCTTCGTGTCGGAGACCATGCCAACGAAGGATGCGGCCTCTTTGGCGGTGCACTGGGCCTTCGCGGGGCGTGCCTGGATGCTGGCGGAGGAGCCTCAATCTGCACAGGACTGCTTCACCGAAAGTGCCAAGCAGTGGAAGCTCCAGCCGCAGAGGTTGGCACCAATGGCTACCCAGACCTTCATTTGGGCTGCTGAAGCCCATTTCAGCCAAGCGGCCTACAGTGAAGCCTTCTCCAGCCTGGTCCAAGCACGTGAACTCATTGGCGAATTGATCTCCAGAATGCCCAAAGAGCAGCAGGAGGCAGTGCCGAGACCCCAGCTGCAACACAAGCTAGCCATACTTCGATTTTGGTGCAATCTGAGGTTGAACAACTTCCTGGGCACCTGCTATGAGCAGGCGCACAGAGCTTCAAAACGAAACAGTCTGAAGCATGGTGAACATGCGCAGGTGGATGATGTTGTGCATTCTGGGATCCTTTTTCAGACCTACATTGGCTCAGAGGTGGAATTGTTCAGCTGCCAGGCATTGTCACATCGAGTGGCCGGGAATGCAGCCCAGGCGAGCGACTTGCTCAACTTGGCGCTCGGGGCTGCAGGCACACGAGTGCACGTTTGCGAGCAATGGGTGGGTAGGGAGTTTGCGAGCAATCAAGCAGGTTTGGGAGTCGTGTTCTATTGTTTGGATTTGCCTCAGGGATGGCATGTTTGATCAGTTTGATCCATGTGTTTTAAAGGAGTTCAATTCAGGCAATGCAAGTCGTCGGAAAATGGTGGTACTGTAGCGTCTGGGCATTGCTTTCCAAGGTGAACGTAGTTGCAGCCGAGGACCCTTCTGGCTTAGACGATCTGGGATGATGGTGGTGGTGGTGGTGATGATGATGATGATGATGATCTGGCTTTGTTTTGAAGATGGCCTGGTTTGTTGCCAAGGGCTTCAGCGGGCCCCAGCATTTTGTCTCACACACACACACAGGTTTCCCAAGGCGACTCGCTAAGGGACGGTTCCCAAGGCGACTCGCTAAGGGGCCGAATCGAACAGAGCACATGTGGGTGCACCCGGCAATCCCTTGGCTGGGCAGGCACTGTTGCAGCCTCTTCCAGATGCAGGCCGAGCAGAGACTAAGTCATGCACAGGTGGACCGGACCTGAAAATACTCAGCATGACGAACCGTGACCCTTTTCTCGGAATGTGAGTCTCACTCGATCCTTTTGTGAAGGTGGTGAGATCGGACATGATTGTGACAGTGTTCATCCGGAACAGTCACCAAACAGAATATGGCCACAAAAACACGAATTCGACGACCAGGATTGAGTTCGTTTTGAACATCGCCAGTGGAAGGTTGTCTCAAAATGGAGTGACCCGACAAATACGCCGGCATTTGGGGGAGCTAGACATACTGTAGATAGCCTCAAAGATCTAATTCCTGATGACACAACCAGCAATCAGCAATCCTGCGAACTGCTGCGCAGAGCGCCCCTTGCCCGACCGCTTCGAGGTTGTTGCGTGCCTTAGCCCGACTGGGCCCCTGTGACAACGGGCTCGTGCGGCGCCTTGGGGCCGAGCGGACCAAGCAAACCACTCAACTCCTGTGTTTCCGGTCGAACTTGTTTGATTTAGATACAGTAGATGCCCCAGAATCATCGGGTCCAACATCATCCAGCATGGTCCCATGGTGCATTCTTTCCTTTACGGAGTAAGTTTGTGACTCAAAGCGTGCTTAGCTGGAGTTTGGGGAGGTTGACCATGGGAGACATCCGCGCGTCTTTCTTCTCCTTCGACCGCGGGGGTCGCGCGGGAATTTATGGTCCGTCTGAGAAAAGCACCTTCGACCTGAACACAACCCGTAGGACTGCCTGATGTTGCCCCCGTTCCATTGACTGGGACTGGGTAGGTGGCCCAACTGACTGGGACTGAGTGGGTAGGCCCACTGTGACCCTCTGACTGCCTCTGACCCTGCCATCAGGGGCGAATCACGAATCACGTCTATTCTTGGCATGGGGTTCAAAAATAGACTTTTATCAGGATCAAAAGCAAATTATTGACAGCATCAAAAAGCAAGTTTTATGAAGATCAAAAAACATAAGTAGGCAGGATGGGAAGGAAGGAAGGAAGGAAGGAAGGAAGGAAGGAAGGAAGGAAGGA